TGTACACGCCCGTGTGCATTCCTCTCACCCACCACTGATAACCAGGGGAACGGTCCCGCCAGGCAGTAATGGCGGCGCCTGACTCTGGCCACAGCTCAAGCCGTCTATTTCATGTCAGGGATAGTATTTCGGGCTCAGATTTTCTAATCGATACTGGAGCCGAAATAAGCATACTCCCAATTCATCTTTCCCGACGACGGCACTCCCAACACGCTAAATTATCATTAGTGGCAGCAAACAATTCTATCTCTAAAACGTATGGCGAGCAATCACTCATCTTAGACATCGGTCTCCGTAGACGTTTTACATGGGTTTTCATCGTCGCTGAAGTTAAACAACCCATCCTTGGAGCCGATTTTCTTAGTAACTACAATCTCCTTGTCGACATGAGAAAAAAGAAACTTATCGACGTGAATACAAGTCTACAGGTCAACGGAACAATCACCTGCAATTATGAAACTTATGGTGTCCGATTGCTTAGACCTGATAGTCAAACTTTTACCGATCTTCTATCGAAGTATGAATGTATAACGAAAGCCGATTATCAAACTGAAAACTCCACACACCATGTTCAACATACTATAACCACCACTGGTCCACCTATCTGCGCCAAGGCGAGAAGACTACCACCCAATAAGTTGCAGTCCGCTAAAAGAGAATTTGAACATATGATGCAACTAGGGATAATCCGACAGTCTAATAGCCCTTGGGCCTCGCCACTGCACATGGTTCCCAAAAAAGATCAAGATTGGCGCCCTTGTGGAGATTATAGGCGTCTGAATAATCAGACAGTTCCAGACAGATACCCCATTCCTCATCTACATGATTTTTCACTAAACCTGCACGGTAAACTGATTTTTTCAAAACTAGACTTAGTCAGAGCTTATCATTAGATCCCAGTGGCACCTGAGGATATTGAAAAAACAGCCGTAATCACACCTTTTGGGTTGTTTGAATTCTTGAGGATGCCATTTGGGCTTAAGAATGCTGCACAAACATTCCAACGATTTATGGACGAAGTCACGCGAGGTTTAGATTTCGTATTTGTTTACATCGATGACGTCCTAATTGCCAGCTCCTCACTTGAAGAGCATGTCCATCATCTGCAGATTCTCTTTGAACGATTCAAGAAATATGGCGTAGTTATCAACCCTACTAAATGCATATTCGGTACGTCTGCCTTAGAATTCTTAGGACACTATATTGATGCACAAGGTATTAAACCTCTACCAAAGAGAGTTGAAGCCGTCATCAACTATCCTGAACCCACTTCGGTTAAGTCATTACGTCGCTTCCTGGGTGCATTCAATTTTTACCGTCGATTTTTACCTAACTGTGCCGACGTTCTACAACCGTTAACTGACTTACTAAAAAACGATAAATCAGGTAGCAAAAAGGAAAAGAATCAACCATTCAAGTTACCTTCCGATGCCAAAACGGCATTTGAAAAACCCAAATCTTTGATTGCTGACGCCACCATGCTACAACATCTAAATACTGACCCCAAAACTCATCTGATCCTCTGTACGGACGCATCACAAAAAGCCGTAGGGGCAGTATTACAACAACGAGTAAACAATACGATTACACCCATTGCTTTCTTCTCTAAAAGGTTATCACCTGTACAAGAGCGTTATAGTACATTCGGTCGTGAACTCTTAGCCATGTATTTAGCCGTTAAACGCTTCAATTTTTTGCTACAGGGCCGGGATTTTACCATCATGACGGATCACAAACCCTTGTGCTACTCCTTTAGTATGTCGTATGACAGACATTCACCACGCGAAGCAAGACAGCTTGATTACATCTCACAATTCACCACAGACATTCAGTTTATCAAAGGTCACTCCAACATTGTAGCAGATGCGTTGTCGAGAAAAGACATCAATGTAGTTGCATCCAACCATGACGTCAACCTAGAAATAATCGCAAAACTTCAAGCAGACGATGCAGAGCTAAAAACCTGCAAAGAAAAGTCTCGCCTGAATCTCCAACCTGTACCCATCCCATTCTCCGACGCATCCATCATCTGTGACACATCAACAGGTAACAATCGTCCCTTTGTTCCACTTGCATGTCGCCAAAAGTTATTCCAACACTTGCATGGTTTGTCACATCCGGGCATCCGAGCTACTACAAAGCTGATAACTGAACGTTTTGTTTGGCCGAAAATCAATTCAGATATTAAACGATGGACACGTGGTTGCCTTCAGTGTCAACGTAGTAAGATCCAAAAGCATACTATTAGTCCAATCGGAGAATTTCCTATTCCTGATAGGCGTTTTCAGCATATCCATTTAGATTTAGTAGGACCTCTACCTTCGTCAAATTCTTTTACTCACATCCTCACGGCAATAGACAGATTCACTCGATGGGCCATTGCATGCCCCATCAAAGACACATCAGCTGAGACTGTAGCATCCGTTTTTCTAGACCGATGGATATCGCACTACGGTGTACCGACAACCATCACAACTGATCGTGGTCCCCAGTTCCAGTCTATCCTGTTTCAGGAATTCACAAGACTTCTGGGCGTAAAACACATCAGAACCACAGCTTACCACCCAGCAGCAAACGGCAGTTAAAAAGCTCACTCATGGCTCAAACTGATTCAACAAAATGGAGTGATGTCTTGCCGCTTGTTCTCCTTGGGATTCGTGCCACGGTGAAGGAAGACATAGGTTGTACACCCTCCGAGTTAGTCTATGGTACAACTCTAACGTTACCGGGCCAACTAGTCAACCGTGAACCTACAACGCAAGAAGATGCTACTCATTTCGCAAGTTGCCTATTACAAGTGATGCAGAACATTAGAGCAATACCACCGCGAGAATACAACAATCCAGTCCATCTCGACAAACATTTAGAAACGTGCAAATTTGTTTTTGTTCGAGTAGACGCGGTGAAAAAGCCACTGACACCACCATATGAAGGTCCGTATAAAGTAATAAAACGCACTTGCAAATATTTCATTATCAACAAAAACGGGAACAATGAAACAATTTCCATAGACCGAATAAAACCAGCTTTCTACGAACCCCGTCAAGCCACTGATGACAATACGGCGAACAAACAATCACTCCCATCAATTGCTAAGAAACAAGAGGAAGAGGAAAAACTCAGCACTACACCCTCTTGTTTAACACGATCTGGGAGACTTATTAAAAAATCCAAACGTTATGTACATTTTATGGACTAACACAATCAATCAGTTGTATGCATTACTTTGTGAAGTTACGCAATCTTCTAATAAAAGATATTTATTTCCCCTACATGTACATTTAATAACTACATTTATTTGTTATCACTGGTTTTGCCAATTTTTTTTAATAAGAAAAAATTGTCATAGTAATAAACGAGTAAATGCAAACCAACTATTTATTAAATTCATCCTTTTTTTTTTATTTTATGACTCTATTAACAGTTTTGCACATTTTATTATTATTATTAGCAAACCGAAACTTTGTAATGTTTGTTCTTCAATTTCATTTTGCGTAGCATAGCCTATATTATTAACGTGTCATTTATTCCTATCTCCACAATTTTTTTTCCGTTATTACAGTAAATACTATTTTATGTAAATTTATACACAATATTTCTCAATTTTTGTTGTTCATATTGTAATCAGTGTTACCTCCGGACACTCTGATGGGAGCTATGTGGAGATAGGACCATAAAACCTATTTTGTAAATAATTTTTCATAGTTTTCGCATGTATTTTCATATTCTGTACATTAAGCATTAAACAATTGTACTTGTTGTTTAAGTGTATTACTTTGAACGCTTGTAACTCGACTTCCTTCCGTTTTTGAGTACAACATATCGTGACACTGTTACTGCTTCTCAATAAATACACTCTAATTCACATCTGCATCGTTCTGCCATGTCTGCTAATATGTTGAATGAAATATTAATTGCATACCATCTACGTTTATAGATAACTGCGACATTCTTATTGAATTCTACGCTTGGTAAACCTACTGGATCTATATCGTCCATATTTGGGGTTACTAATTTTTTATAATTGTGGATTATTTGGACCAAACCCAGCCGAACACGCAATAGCCTGAAGACTTAAGTAACGTCCCTTATTTTGTTATTTGTGTGTGTAATTAACTTATTAACTGTTAATTGTTACATAAACTATAGACATAATATTTTTGTTGCTAATTTTTGGTTATCATACATTTTGGTCTACCACAATCTCAACTATATGAAATTACTAAAATCTTCACCAAACCACCTTCTGAAAATTAGCTATTTCTTTACTTTATGCAACACACATTTACAATGAATAGGTATTTAATTATGAAACATACATACAAATAGAAAATAATAGTTGATTGTAAGTTCAAGGAGAAATGACTGTTTTACCTCATTGTTAACATCGTTCCATAGGACCCATAATGTGTAAATTTAATCTATTACGTCAATTTTTATTATACTAATTAAGTACTAGCGTGGTGAACGATAACATTGGTGGGGAAAAACCAACTTACTGTTCAACGTAAGATTACCATATATTAAATACATCGTTTGCACGTCTTCGATCAGTTGTCCCTTATATGCTTCATGATTATTTCAATTCTGTTTTTATTACAATTACTCTCAGGTTAAATTCTTGTTTTCTCACATTCGATCTTCTGAATAATCTGCTGCCAAGCATTTCACTTCCATTTCGTGATACATACGACTTATACCTGTCAGCATAAGTAGCATTCACCACACTACGGGCAATCAACAAATTTATACATAATTACTACGTATCGTTTTGTACATATATACATTCCTTTAGTCGATCATTTAGCCAGTCCATTTGTGGAGATTTGTAATTTGACCTATTGACCAAAACTATCTATTATCTTTACAAAATTAACTGGGTTGTCGAAATTTTCTAAATAAAACGCACAGGTACATGTTAAATTATCTTGAGCACACTTTAAGTATTTTATACCCTACTTACTTAAAGTGTGTCATGTTTTGGATAAGCAAGCAAAGGACACGAATTCAAATATTTTATTACGAAGAAAATATGGTTCTCAGTAGTTGGGTCACTTTAACATACATTGTTCCATTATATTTCTCGCTAGAATGAAACCATTGATGCATCAAAAGTAGAAAATGGTACAATGATCTCTTACATTTTTATAGGATTGAAGTCTTTAATTGCCTTTACTCCAATACATAACATTAATACCTATGTAATGAACAAAATTAAAAATATATTACTGAACTTCTTCAATATTTTCTTTTGATTGAAAATTGATTGCAAGGTTGTTTGTGTAAATATATGAAATAAGTGTCTAAATGATTGGTTATGGAGATTATTGCTAAACTTACTGACGGCTGTTACCCCTCGCGGAGGAGCATAGGCCGACCACCAACATTGTTCATTCAACCCTGTCCTGGGCAATCCTTTCCAGTTATTTCCAGTCAACATTCATCCTTTTCATAGCTGCTTCTATTTTCCGACGTAATGTGTTCTTTGGCTTTTCTCTTTCCTACTTCCCTTCTGGATTCCATGTTAGGGATTACCTCGTGATTTCCGCGATGTATATCCTATCCACCACTTCCATCGTCTTTTTCTAATTTTCTCCTCAGCTTGAGGCTGGTTTGTCCTCTCCGACAGAAAGCTATTGCTGATGATATCTGGCCAATGGATGTTGAGTATCTTGTGTAGACAATCGTTCAGAAATACTAGTAAATTTTCGATGATGGTTGTAGTAGTTCTCCACGTTTCAGCTCCGTACATTCGGACTGTCTTGACGTTCGTATTGAAGACCCTCACTTTGAAATTAGTTGAGATTTGTTTTGAGTTCCATATGTTCTTCAATTTTCGGAATGCTGTCCTTGCTTTGCCTATAGGCACCTTCATATTTGCATCAGATCCCTCTCATTCATCAATGATGTTTCTTAGGTACGTGAATCACCATCAAGTGTGATTAGCTTCATGTTCTCTGTGTTGTATTTGAGAATCTTGCTTTTTTCTTTGTGTATATTTAGGCCTATTGATACATAAGTTGTTTTCGTCTGTATTTGTTCGTATGTATGATATAAGAGGACTGAGTTATCTGCGAAATCCAAATCGTCTAATTGATTCTGAGGTGTCCATTGTATTCCGTGCTTCCACTCAGATGTCGAAGTCTTCATAATCCAGTCAATCACCAGAATAAAGAGGAAGAGGAAGAGTAGACAGCCTTATCTGACTCTGGTCCTTACTCGGAATGCATCTGTCATCTGTCTATTATTTTATAAACTAGTAACAGTTAGTGAAGTACATTTTTGACTTCTTATAGAGACAGTATGATTTATAGAAGTTAATCATGTAAAAAGACTGGCATTATTGACAGTTTTGATTTACATTCGTATTATGTCATTAGATGATTGAGTATGAAATTTTTGATGAATGAATCCGAACATTTTGACAAACAATAATGCACTTTCCATGGCCCTGTACGTCTTTAGTGCAATCCTTGGGAATGCCGTTGACATATGATATTATGAAGTTTGAATCCAGAATGAAACGGCTGTCCAATAATTATAAGTATGGGGTTTTGGAAATTGTTTAGTTTTAATTGGGATAATAAACCGATCAACATTAGAACACCATTGAAAACATGGGAGCGATAAACGGTCATTTCGGTCTATTACAGGACTTTCAGCAGTGTGCATCTATGATCGTTCGTACGGGACTCGAATACAGGAACTTCGGTCTTTTGTGAACGCTTGAGCTCTAGACTACTGATCAGACACTGAACGGCGTTAATGTCTAAATTCAATAAATCCATGATACTGTGTGACCATCTTCTATTATCTTAGATGATTAACTGCCTCACACCGTCCAATCATTATTGGTTAATAGCATTTAATCAGCTGAAATAATTTCACTATAAAATCTTTAAAAATATGGCGATTAATAATTTTGATATTGACTTGCAAAAATGCGAATCATCAAGGGAAGTTACTGAAATATGCCTCTGTTATAAGTGGAAAACTGGCTTCATCAGCACTATTGTAACTGGGTAGCCAACTTTTATATAAGGGAAGTCGTCGATGTCACGTAAGTATAGACTCTGCTGAGTCCGCAGTATCATTCCCTTTAATTAACAATCAGAAACCATTACAAAATGCTTTATCCTACTTGCTTTACTGTGAAACGCAAACTATAACAGTCCTCACGATTCAAAGAACACAAAAGGGTGATACAACGAAAATTTATTGACTTCAGAACACCATGACAAATAAGTACCAACTCACTTATGATATACTGAACGATGACCCTGGTATTAATATGTCTTATGTTTTTCTTCCGTCTAGGACTGATCATTTGAGAAGACATTCATAGAAAGCTCAAGAACCGAGATCTAGTAGTCTACATGTTGAGTTCTGTTTCTCACACCGAGTAGTGAATCACTGGAACTCTCTCTCAGAACACATAATATCAACACCTTTTGTTTATATATTCAAAACGAGATTGGAACTCTACAGTGTTACAAATCGTAAGAATTAATATAGGTCGATAGCTCTCCTATCCTTATTACCGAAGACTTACTGCAATGTCTTCTCCTATTTTGGTCATAAATATCTTCTGTGAAAATCAATACACAGAATAAAATTTTCATACTAAACGAAAGTTCATATTCTTCATATAGTACAAAGTTCATAATGAATAGACATAATAGGGCATTGGCCTATATATAATGTCATCTTCTTATCCCTTCATATCATCCTCAGAATACTTATGAAGTAATGAATAACAAAAGAAACGATATAAACTTACATTAATTAATAAAACTGAAATACTTGCAAATACCATTATATTCAAATAAAATGAGATTTCTTCTGCAAATGGTTTATCACAACTAATTCCAATATTACTATTGTATATTGTATATTCATATGGACATGTAGTGTTGATTATTTCTAATTGATCATTCATTCTACAACATGGTATAGGTTGATTTATTCCTTGGAAAAGAAAAATAAATAGGAAGAAAATACTAGATAATAACAAATACTTCACTTAGTTTTGTTTGTTTGAATCTTCTCATTGATGCATATGACTGCAACTGGTCAGTCTCTTATTGAACATTTGTGCATACTGCGTGTATTGCCTTGATATAGCTTTAATTCACAAGCATTATAAGCATCAACACTGAGATGCAAGTACATCCAACTGACGACTCCCCAATAGGACGAAACGCTAATCCTGGATTCCACTGCTAACCATTATTCATCCTTGCTTATAATAACATATACTGGTTTAATGAAAAAATCTAAGAATATTATTATTATTTAAAATATAAACTGTCTGATCTGCCATAATAATAACATCAACGAATCTTCATCTTGTTACAAAACATGTTTACTCGTTTTCATAGACTTATATAATTCAGGATCTTATAGACTAGAACATTTCTAGACGTTGCGCACTTAAATAATCCAAAAATCGATAAAAAACACATTGATATAGACCCAATTATTGACTGATAAGAATAATGATGAGCAATTATGAGGTTATAAGACAAGTTGAATGACGAGATTTATCAAATATTTAGGAAATCGTTGGAATTTAAAGTTCGAATTCAATATCGTAAAAGGCAATCTGTTATTCAGTTCAAGCCGAAGTTTGTGCTCATGATATCGTTCTAGATAGATCATGAAATTTTAAAATCTAAATCACTTAGCCAAAAAAAAACCAACTCCTCCAGAAATGTTTATTCAATGTTTTATATGAGTTTAGTTAGAATAACTTAAATACAGCTTACCACATTACCGTTCTTCAAACAAATAGTCAGTGACTATAGGAAAATTTTTTTATCAGAAGGAGGTTTTGTGGAGATTTCAACACCGTTGAATGCCGGCTCAGTGGTCTCTCTGTTAAGTGCTCTAGAGCGTGACTAGTAGGTCCTGGGTTGGAATCTCGCAGGGCGGGATCGTGAATGCGCACTGCTAAGGAGTCCCACAATAGAACGAATTATTCGTCCAGTGCTTCCAGTTTTTCCATGGTGGTCAAGCTTCAGTTGACTCATGATCTCAACCATAGGAAAAATTTTTAAATAAGTCTATTAAAAGAAATATTATTGTAGAACACACTGGGACACATATTGTGAAAATAACTTCTCAAATACATAGGATAAAATGACATGTAAAGTTACTGGTGATAATAAATTGGATTTGATTAACGTAAAAAGCAGATTCTAAATTTGTCGCCAAATTGCAGAGCAAAAGTTTAAAAACTCATCATAAATTCTGAGTTATAGAATTTTAATCACAATTAAGTATGTATTGGTTTTCGGGGGGGGGTGTTGTGAGCAAAGAGTTCGCAATCGGAAGAACTACATAATCGTATTTACATCTTCGATAAGAATTCCATGTTATTTTCCTCTTAACAGTATTCCTCTGTAAAAATTAGACTGAATATAATAGGATTATACGATTATCGATCCAGAAGATACAAATGTTTAATAACAATTGTCTACGCAAGATACATTGGATCCGTTGGCGAAACACTATCAGCAATATTCTACTGTGGAAGAGAACAAACCAGATTTCGGCGGAGGGAGAAATCAGGAAGAAGCGCTGGAAGTGGATAGGGCACACATTAAAGAAAGCACCCGACTGCATCACAAAACAAGCCCTCACATGGAATCCTCAAGGCCAAAGAAGAAGAGGAAGATCAGAGAACACATTACTCCGAGTAATGGAGACATACATGAGAAGAATGAACAAGAATTGGATAGAACTAGGAAGGAAGGTCCAGGACAGAGTGGGTTGGAGAATGCTGGTTGGTGGCTTATGCTCCTTTGGGGGTAACAGGCGTAAGTTAATAAGTAAGTAATATGATTATCGATAAATGAAAAAAATGTTTCATATGTGTTTAGTAGTAACCTATGTAGTATATATGTAGTACTATACTCATAAATCTGATTAATTACCCCGTATCTTTAGCTATAATATTTTCACAAGTTTATTTAAAGTCAGATAACCTAATGAGGGAATATCTCACATCAAAATACAATATTTTACAATATCTAAATGAAAATACCTAAAGTTAAATTTACGCTACTCAAATTTAGCAGTACAGTGCATAATAACACTGCTATTGGTTTGTTTTCTTTTAACGGTCTCCAGATACGAATAAAATCATAGTTGTACTGGGTAATATTATAGTGAATAGGAACCCTGGTGGGGAGAACCAGTATATTGTTTAACACAAACTTACAGAGTGTTTTGGTAAAATATGAAAACTATACATTAAATACATTATTTACATATCTTCAATCAACTGTCTCCTACAAACTTCATCATTCATTCATTCCTTTTGTTATAACAGTTAATCTTTGGTTACATTCTTGTTTTCTTCTATTCAATCTTCGGAATCCTTTGCTTCCAGGCATTTCACTTCCGTTTGCTGATACATATTACTTATAACAGTAAGTAGCATACACCACAATATGATTACATATCACAATGACCCAACAACAGGAGGATTTTGAATAATCCTAGATGAATCGACATCATAGATTAGCTATTACGCTTTTGATTTTAATGCTCAGTAAAACAATTTTGAACATAATTAAACTCATAATTTCTCTCAAGATCATTTATACATCTTGTTAGCTACAGTCAGCTTACTTTTAATCTTGCTACAAAACTACCTACTGGTTATTTTTAAGCACCTAACATGAGACAGAGTAAACTAAAATATCTAATTACCTAATCTGGGAACTACTTAGAAATTTTGTCGGTGAACCTAAATGGTAGTCAATATGACATGGATTAACTATGCAGTGATCATTCCGGTTGAAGTATAAAGTACATTTCTTTTGTTCTTACCTTTATAAATTATGTTATCGTAAGCATCAATTGGATTAAACTTTGGATATATCCGACCAGACTGACTATATGTGGTTCCACAACAATTTAACTGAAACAATAAACAATGTAAAACACATTTGTAATACTATTTCATTCCAATGAAGATTTACATTATAATCGATCTCAAATATTTACAAAAACAATCAATTTTTCGAGAAAAAGTGGATTGTCGCTGGCAGTGAATTCTAGAACGTGAGTTTCATTCTATTTAAAACTCGTTAGTCGAAAGTACCTATGCTTAATGACAATGATTGAACCCAATATCTTTCTAAACGCCTAATCGGTAATCCACTGAACTATTGATAACCACTAACATGTTTAATCGGCATACCAACCAAGATTGAATAAACGTCAATCACAAATATCAACAATGTAATAATCCAAACCCTTCCTGATAATGATTTAAAGTTAATTTCATGATTTATTTATGCCTAGCTTATGTGATGGATTTATCATTTTTAAATGGACTTGGTTTTATATGTCATTACTTAATAATAGTTCATTAATAGTTCCTGCCTAGTTTTTTTTTATTAAAATATTAACAGATACTAAATGAGTTTATTATTCCTAACAATCTCTTATCTTGATGGGATATGTTTGTTAGTAATAAAATAGGCTGGTGAAAAGCTATGACTGGCGGAGACTTCAAATGCCCTGGTACAAACGAGAGTGGGTAGAGTCCGTTCTCCCTCTCCAAATGCTCTCACATGGCCACGCGTATATAGACCCTGCCAAGGAAGTCCTACTCACTGCCTTCTTGTGGCATTACTATTGTCTACAAAACTGAGAGGACGAAAAGCGGGTGTCCGGCGCTTTAAGCGGACACGGAAAGCCCACCTAGGGGAGTCGGAAAACCCTGATTCCAAACCAATATTGCACATGAGCTCCAGTATCCTGAGGGAACAAATGACGTTTGAATCAATCGTTGGTCACCGGCTAACATGGGACTGCATTTCACGATGCTTCATTGCCTTGTGGATCAGACCTTTATATCAACGGCTCCGGTTGTGGCCCCCTAAGAAATCCACCTGCTTCAGTTTGGGCACCTGGGCAGTATCACAACCCTCACACAAATCGAATGATATTTGTGTGGCGCATATATATCTGGTGCCCCTTTGTACCAATATTCATGTGTTTAAATAAATAAATAGTAAATGACTGGCCGAAGCATAATACGGTATCAGTTCATGAATTTTTAACCATAGTTTTGAGCTATCTTAGTAGATGCCAATTGCCTGGTTGGATTCTGCACGATAACTGTGATCTGTATTTGGATATCTTGAATAGCATAACCAATCATTTTCTACAACACATTTTATCTATTCACTCTTCTTCACCAGATTTTGAAACTCACTGCTCCCTCATAAATATCTTTTCTCTGCCTTTCCGTATCACGTTTTCAAAGTTCAGTCTTTCTCAAAAAAATTGTTACAATATTGTTTCTTTTATTATTTATCTTAGTAATTTCATCTGGTTGAAGTAATGTGTGATAGCAACTTGGGCTAACACACATCTGTGACTTTATGTGAATGACTATGTTGCTAATTTATTCATGAAAATTTTTATGAAACAACCACCGACATCACATAATAATGTTGAGGAATACTACTGACTTTAAAGTAAATTACTTTACAGATAGATCATCAGGCAATAGTGGGATTAGATTTTTCATTTAGCGAAAACTAGTATTCAAGTAACCAAATGTCTCTATGACTAATGTATCATACTAACACTAAAACGCTATAATGAAAATTTACACTTTTTAGGCATCATTCGTATAAATGTTACTGATATTATCTTGTTCAGCTATGTTTAAACCAACAGTATTGATGTCACATGTAAGTGAGCTAATATCGTATCGCTTATCAGCCAAAGTAGAAATCTTCTACCTATCAACTTTCAATCAGAATACGAGAAAAAGCAGCTGATATGCTTATACTTATAACCTGGAATGCCAACATGGTTATACGTATGAATTACGGGGGCACGACGCATTATAAAAAATACAAATGTTGGTCCCTATAATAAATAACTTTCATAGTTTGTCAATGATACCGATTCACCTAATCTTAACAGTTATCAAACTTTATTTCTACTTACCATAACCATTACACTGGCAGTAAATAAGCTTGCTGGAGTTCCACTTCTCAATGATACATATTCTGTCATTAAACCTTTAATATAATCTTTTAGATGATCTTCAGTCTAAATGTTTTTTTTGAAAAAGATAATAAATATGGGATATAGCAATAATTATATAAAAAGGAGTATCTTTTTTAGCTATCTGATATTACAGAACTTAAGAGATATATTTGTTACACCCCATTGTTCACCCCATTGCACAAGCAAGTGGCTATCAGGACTCATTGTCTGAGTAAATAACGCGATGGCGTTTGAAGCGAAAGGTACTGGGTTCGAATCCCAGAGTGAACATCAACTCTGAGATGCAGGTATATCCAGCTGACGAGTCCCAAATAGGGCGAAACGCGCGTCCTGTATTTCACTGCTAGCCACTATCCATCTTTTCTTACAATACTTGTGAATTAAGGCTATATAGAGGCAATACGCACAGTATACACATATGCCAATTAGAAACTAACCAGTTTCAGTCCTAAACATCAATCGGAAGATTCAAACAAATAATACCAAGTGAATTTATATTTGTTGCACTTATTCAAGCAACATAAATATGTTATCAACTTTAACATTTTTCTAGTCATTAGGTTAACCGTACTGAATTATCAAAAGATAAGTTTGATAAATACATCATTAACATTCAAGTAAACTGATGTTGCATATCGTTCGATAAAATGGCAGATTTCATCATGTAAGAAAATGTATGATTCTCGTGGACTAGACAATAATTGTCATAATCCATCAAGTAGTATTTATCACATGAACAACATCGTAATCATTCATCTCTTCATAACCCTTATTCCCATGGTTTTGTACTACCCATGTACTCACTCATCCACAGGCATATTCTGAACCGATTAACGTTTACATTATATCATACAGGATCACCAGAAAAAGTACTTTTGAAGAGCACACAAAATATTTAAAATGATAACGAAAAGCTATCTGTTTACCAACACAGAGTGAAAGTGAGTGTTAAAAGTAACAAATGCACAATTCTTATTTAAATTATAGCTCCGAAAATGTTTCGTGTTCTATTAAGGAAGATTTAGGAGGAACAACAAACAACTGACAGATTGGAAAGAAGTATGTTTGATCAAGATACCAAGGGAAGGAGATCTGAGCAAATGCATAAACTACAGATGCATCACACTACTGTCGGTCAAAACAGCCAGTGTGGTAGACGCCTCTGCATCAGTAGGCCTCAACATACACAAGGGAAAAAGCAACATTCTCAAGTAAAACATGGAGAACATCAATCCAATCACACTTGACGGAGAAACTCTGGGAGATAATGAAACGTTCACGTACATGGTCAGCATCATCGATGGACAAGAAGGATCTGATGCAGACATAAAAGTGAGTATTGTAAAATCAAGGCCAACATTCCCACAATTGAAGAACATATGGAACTCAAAACAACTGTCTGTCAACCAATATCTATGTGAGAGTCTTCAATACTAACGTCTAGACAGTTTTACTGTACGGAGCTGAAACGTGGAGAATTACTACAACCATCATCAAAAATTTACTAGTAATTCTGAAGGATTGTCTACACAAGATACCTAACATCCATTGGTCAGATACCATCAGCAATAGTTTTCTGTCGGAGAGGATTAATCAGCTTCCAGCTGAGGAAAAAATTAAAAAAGGACGATGGAAGTGGTGGATAGGATATTCATTGCGGAAATCATCAGACTGCACCATGAGGCAAGCGCTAACTTGAAATCCTGAAGAGAAACGAAAAAGAGTACGGCCAAAAAACACACAGTGACAAGAATTATAAGCAGATATCAAATAAATGAATAGCGACTGGAAACAACTTGAAAGAGTTGTTTAAGATAGGGTTGGATGAAGAATGTTGGTGGGCGACCTGTGCTCTTCAATGAGAGCTAACAGGCATTAGTTAACAAGTAAGTAAACAGTTAATTAGTTAACTAATTAATTAACTGATCCATACAAGTTTTTAAGAAGGAAGATGTTCTTTAACTTTGATCTCGTCTTTTTAATTTACAGACAAGAAAATCTGTGGAGCACTTCAATTAATCCATTACCATGTCATGAATATCCCCATTTCGACATTTGGTAAAAAGAACAAATTGAGCGAGGAAATTTATTTATTCTTAATCTTTCAGTATATCAATAATTATAAAACGGTACATTGCATTTTTTAAAAATCCTATCACATTAAAAACTAATATATTCAATTCTATCTCAGTAGATTGTATTATGGTGTAGGTTGCTTAGATCCACATAAGTAGTATATGGTGATAGTCAGGCATAGAATGTACATCACTAGGAGATTGATAAGGAAAAAACCCGAACGGATCGCAATCGGTATGAACATGCATCAACAATCAAATCAGAGAAGATGAACTGATATTTGAAGAAGGATTGGTCAAGATTGAGACAATTGATTGTTATTTTACAAATTAACTATTTACTGTATGGTTGTCAAATTTTAGTGAGTTAGTCTGTAATTTTGTGCTCAAATATATTTCATTGTCCAAACCCGTGTTCTTGTTCACTACAGTATATAATCACTTAAAGGATTTCCATCACCTCTAAAACATAGATATATGAACGAACAATATTCTTTTCAATAGATTCTCCTCAAATCCTACAATTATATATCCAAATTACAAAACTGAAAAGCAGTCAGATTTACAACAAAGTACATTGTTTGAAGTTATAGCATGCTAAAATTTAGGATTGTTAAGCAAAATAAAATTGTTACTGTTGAAATGATTCATATTCAATGTTAATTTGAACATTCTACTATATATTTACTTTATATGAATATTCGTCTATATTAGAACGAATACTTAGATAAGAATTAGAAGCAGATATCAAAGGAATGAACAAGGATTAGAAACAACTAGAAACGATTGTATAGGACGGAGTTCGATGAAGAATCTTACGGTGTAGTCATAGTATAATGTGGTCTACTTATATCCATATAGGTAGTAAATGGCGATGGTCAGACATAGAATGTATTTCGGCAAAAGACCGATAAGGAAAGAACTGAAATGAAGCACAATTGGTAGAAAAATGCATGAACAATGGAATTAGAGAAGATAAACTAATATTTACAGAAGGAACAATGAACATTGATGCAGTTGGTTGTTAATTTGCAAGTTAACTGTTTGTTGTATGGCTATCAGAATTTAATGAGATAGTCTATAATTTTTGTCTAAATACATTCGATTGTACCCAACTAGTGTTCTGTTCACTACAATAGCTCCTCCATGGGGGTTAACAGACATAGATAAGTAAGTTCAGAAAAAGTTGCTTGATGAAACGTTGGAATTATTTAAATTCCAACCACTGAGATTATTTCAAACATAATTTTTCACATATCATATACATTTACTTACATGTAAAATTATGTTACACTTTCTACACACATCATCAATCTTAACTTACAGTTTGTTCACTGAAATAGTATCCAACGGTCAGCAATAAATGTCCAAGAAGAAGGAATCCTAGTATTATTTGATACTTTAAAATAGGTACAATGAAAAGGAAAATCAATACAGAAATACATAATTTTTTTTACAATTGAATAATATTACTTAAGTTTAATAGTAGTATATAGGTATTCTGAAAACTATTATTATTTTGATAGTTATTTTCAGATGTCTTGATACATTTCAACAAACTATGTTCGTCTCGACTTCTACAATTCATTGAAGTTTAGAAATATTAACTGCATTTTGTTTTATAAACAGTTTTCCTTCGTATTTGCGAAAAAAATCATGTGTTCACTAGTGATTGACTTCAAGATATATTTCCTAGAGTTCTAGTGGGAAGCAGTGACCAGTGGAGTTCAACCAAGTCTGTTGTAGAGATATCAACTCACTGAAGACAATTGGTGAAACGGTTGCTCAATTTCGTGGATTGGTTGAAGTTAGACATTAACACCGTTGGATATCGGCCAGCACAGTGGTCTATCGGTTAACTGCTCTAGCGCGAGGATGGTGGGTCCAAGGTTCGAATCTCGCGAGTGCGGGTTCGTGAATGCGCACTGTTGTACAACCTTATATACAGTCAATTAACAAATAAAATAGGCTTTCCAAAAATAGAAGGATGATTACATCATAAAATAAAGTTGCTCAACGATTGAGAATTTGAAAAAGGATAATAAGATGAAATCAAATATGTGCGGAGTAATTATCCAATTGATGAATATGAGAAGAGTGAAGAATAAATTTAAAAAATCAAAGTGGTCATAACTAATTGATTTGAAGAAAGAAATAGAGAAGCAATGATGAATAATGGAAGCTATTTTTATCAGACATTGTTAAACTTAATTAAATGTCTGCCAAGTACTAACATGTAATTGAGATCACGAGTGGATGAATGATAGACCACCATTAAAAACCCGGAAACACTAGACGGCCATTTCATACCAGTGTTGAACTCCTCAGCATCATGTCCCGCTCGCGCGTTCGTGCGCGAGACCGAAAATCCCTAGTTCGAATCCCTTGTGTGGGATCGTGGATGGGCACTGCTGCAGAGTCCCATACTAGGACGAAACGGTCGTTCGCTGCTTCCAGGTTTTAATTGGTGGTCTATCATTCATCTCTTTGTGATCTCAATCAAAAACTTAACAATCTCCACAACCATTTCTTATTTTTGTACGTTGTAGTCCTATCAGTTGTAAGTTTGTTCATGCTCCTTATAATATTTTTAACAAATAGTAATTCCATGTTAAGAGATAGAGTTTGATAATGTAAGTCACTATTTGAAGATATTCAAGCGATATGGATTTACCTAAAACAACAGATTGGTTTAAAGTAATCGAGTACTTTTATGTTACTATTTATTTAAATTGCTTAGAAAAATTATAATCATTTACTGAATCCTGATAGCCACCTGTTTGTGCGATGTGGTGAAGTTTGAATTCACTTGTTGTTGCTTGCTTGTAACTTCTGATTGTTGTTTAGGATTGCAATTGATCAGTCTCTTGTTGGCTTATGTACATTTTTTGCGGATCGACTTGACATTGCCTTAAGTCACAAGCTTTATAAATAAAGATAGGTAGTGGCTAACAGTGAAATCCAGGACACATGTTACATTTTATCTAAGACTAGTAGTCTGGATGTACCAGCATTTCAGAATTGATTTTTACCCCCGGACTAAGTGGATAATGCCATGGCGTCTGAAGCAAACGGTACTGGGTTTGAGTCCCGAAATGAACATCAACTCTAGAATGCAGGTACATCCAGATGACTGGTCTTAGATATAATGAAACGCATGTCCTGTATTCCACTGCTAACAACTTTCTATTTCCGTTTATAATGTTTGTGACTTGGGGCAATATTGAGGCAATCCTCACAAGATACACATTAGCCAACATGAGATTGTTCAATTGAAATCATAAACAACAATGGGAAGTAACAAGCAAACATTACCAATTGAACTTAATTATCATCATTGTTCAAATTTAAATTTAGAATCAAATTATCAATGAATATAATTATAACTCTTACCATCCTTAATAAAGTAGATTTTTGATTCCATATAGCAATCAATCCAATAATACAAACTAGTAAATTACTTATACTGAATGTAAACACTGCAATACTTAGATTCTCTAGAAATAAGAACAAAACAATAGACAATGTAATTTTAGAATATTTACTTTATTTAAATGTTATACATAATGAATAGGAATTGAGAATAAATCTAATACAACCTATCAAGTTTAGGAACACTACTAACTATCATTAAAATGAAATATTCTGTCATAAATTAAAGGTATCAGGACTCAATAGCTGAGTGGATAACGTGATGGCGGGTACTGGGTTCGAATCCTAGAGTAAACATGAACTCTGAGATTCAGGCATATCCAGCTGACGAGTCCCAAATAGAACGAAACACGCGTCAAATTAGATTCCACTGTTAGCCACTATCCATCTTTGCTTATTATACTTTTAAATATGTACTTTTAAATATAATTGGTTCATAAATGACAAATAATAACTGCCGAAAACGTATGATTATTCACTTGACAAGTGTTTAATACTCAAGGTACAACTAAAACGTACAGTGATACCATAAATGACAAAAGTTCATATTCAAAATGGAATATCAGTTCCTTTAAGATTGTATGTGCCTCTCACTGACAAATGACAAATAACACCAAATCCATCGATTCCCCGTAACCACTATCCACCATAATAATTTGTTTTATAGCTTTAATTTTTTTAGAGTTGATACATAAATCTTTAAATTATTTCACAAGTTCTTCATTATCAGGATCTTATATTTTTTCTTAAGTTTGTTATTTCAACAGTGATTCATTTAAGTATAGGAAAAAGGCTGATTTAAACACTTTATTGGGCAGTAAGATATGTATTGTTATCATAAAGGAGTTTTGTGGAGATTATAGTAATATAATGGTTGAGTTCATGAGTCAATTACTGCTAAACCACTATGGGAAACCTGGATTCACTGGATAACTGTTCAGTCCTAATGTAGGACTCCTCAACAGTATGCATCCACAACCTCGTCTCGCGCGATTGCGAACCTCTAGACTACTGAGCCGGCTTCCAAGGGTGTTAATGTCTAACTTCAACCACTACACGAAAGTGAGTCACTGTTCTATTGTTCATTAACTATAATTGGTATTTGGTAGTTGTTACATGTAGGTTCAAGAAATCTTAAATATTCAGAACCATCCTATACATAATCGTAGCTTTTATTTTTATTGTACTATTGTTAAATGCGTAGGCTATGATATTTTCATATACCATTGATTGTGAACTTTCATTTGACTTATAAACCTTTGTCATGTTTCACAGCTCCACAATTATATTTAATTAGGTGTTCCCCCATTCTTCTGACTTCATGTCACACATGGCTTATACATGTACTGATCATAATTTCTTATTTGTGTTATCATATGATCAGGTATTTAATGAATATTATCATATGACCTTTTAAGTTGAGATGAAAATAAGACAGTAGAGAAGATTTCTGACTGCTTATTTTCTTGGGACATTGTTTACTGCTAATACGTTTTTGATATACAGAACGCTATTGAGCAGCGAGCGAACTTTAAAATAAATAGTTCCCTATTATCTAGCTATCAGATCGAATAGGTTCAACAATAGTAAGAATTTAACTATACAACAGCAGTGCACTAATTAACCATCTTCATTACTTGAATAAAACATTACCATATGATTCTAAATATATATTTTTATTTACTACACTAAAAGTAACAATGAATGAATGAATATTCTTCTGATATCAAGTTTTAATGAAGTTCAAAATCAATACAGTTTTCAGAAGAAGATTTCGTGGAGATTTTAGTGATTTTTTATATAGTCGAGATCGTCAGTCAATTGAAGCTAGACCACTATGGAAAACCTGAAAGCACTGGACGGCCGTTTCATCGCAAGACTGGTAGGTCCTGGTTTCAAATCTCGGGAGGCGGGATCGTGGATGCGCATTGCTGAGTAGTCCCACAATAGAGTGAAACAACCGTCCAGTGCTTCCAGGTTTTCCATAGTGGTCTAGCTTCAATGGACTCACGATTTCAACTATATAAAAAATCAATATAGTTTGTAAAGAAATTCTATTCATTACAAAACAACTTACGTGTAATTTTCATAATCAACTGTCCCACACCATTACCATAATTTCGACTTAATGGAACAACATGTTTTTCAAATAATTTTACTGTTTTACGCAATATCATAAAATTAGCTTCTTCTGACAACATAAACAATCCAGCTCCAGATATTATTAATATGCAAATAAACTTGTAGTGAAAAAAAGTAAAATAAAATAACCAATTATGTGATGATAAAGAAGATTTGTAGCTCAGGTAGATGATTTTAATGGAGTTTTGTTCTCTGAGCTGAATGGTTTGGTCGTGGAGCTTTCATCGTCCTTCTAAACGACATCATCAGCACAAAATTCAGGTAGAAGCTCCACGACCAAACCATTCAGCTCAGAGAACAAAACCCCATCATAACCAATTATGTGTTTAGACAATATGTTTGAAATATAATTTTTATGATCAAATTAAATTATCATTAACTTGTCCCTGATGTAATACCACATGTTTATATGGTGAACGTACTCCTTAAGTATAAAGTTATCGAATTGCTACAATGCTAGGAAGTTTGGATCTGTTTATCAAAAGATTTTAACAATCACTTCCTACATAATATTTTCTAAAGATTCACATACATCATGGTGACGTTATAGTTCAGAGAGCACTGAACAGCCATTTTATGTTTGTATAAGACTATACATATAGTTTCGCGACTTCTGATCATCTCAATTTGATAAGGTTTTAAGGAAGCCAAATGAACATAACAAATCATATCACAAATCAATGAAATTTCATGTTGTCTTACACCGTGAAGTAGTTTGATTTTCTTCAACAAACGAGTTAACTGAATTTAAGGATGACTAGTTCAATATATATATGGAATCTCGAAGGGAAAAGGAAAAGAGGAGGAATAAGAAATATGTCGCTTCGGGAATAGGAAGCAGATATCAAAAGAATGAAAAATTAAAGGAAAGGATTGACCAAGACATAGTTCGATGAAGAATCCTGATGGTCAGCCTATGCTCCTCCACGAGGGGTAACAGGTATAAGTAAGTAGGCAAGTTCCACGGAATATTCATTGAAAGACCTGTACATTTCATTGTGTACAATGAAAGAAACCTAATGATTCATTAAAAAGGATGAAGACGTTAAAGTGAGGATAGTTTCCTGTTCAATTCTGTCATTTTCTTAAGCTCCTTATCCGCCTAACCCGTCCACTTGAGTTCAAAACACCAATAGCAGCCTCGGCAATACGAATCGTTTATTTCAAGCATACTTTGTTTATATATCAGACAGACAGGCCACATCATACCATAAAATAGAAAATAATATTTGTACAAAACCAAGCCAAATGATGCTGTAAGCGTGGGAGACAATGATCAATAAACTGAGTATAACTTAGGAACAGTAAATCGTACAGTAATAAGTCATAGGTCAAAATGAAGCTTACAATAAAATGAATATAGATATAGATAATTTAGTTACCGAATAGTTATACAATAAGAATGATAGTCCAATAATAGGTCCTGCAAGTTACCAGTACTTATGTCTTCGCTACTACATAACAGTAGGTACGTAAGTAAGTAAGTAAGTAAGCAAATAAGTAAGTAAGTGGATAGCATAAGTGTTCAAACAAACAACCCACATCATTTATCTGTCAATTATTAGCGATATATGTTACTGATATAACTTGAGAACTACAGTCAAATCGATGTCTATACATTTCAGAGACACCAATAGACATACGCTCATGGAAACAAACGTTTTTCCAAAAAATTTCTATCCTCACTCAAATTTTCAACGTACTATAAAAGTCATATGATTTCATTATTTACTATGAAGGCTATTTCTTGCATCTTATCAATCAGTTCACCTAATCCTCAATTCACTTCATTCTACATTGAGACCATGAATCGATTGATGTTAGATCACCATTGTAAACCAGGAAGCACTACATGACCTTTTCGTCCTATTACTGTACTCCTCAGTAGTGTGCATACACAAACAAACACACCGGATTCAAAGCCTGTACTTTCAGTCTCGTGCACGAACGCTTAACCTCAAGACAGCCGAACCTGTATCTAACAGTGTTAATGTCTAACTTCAACCAATCAACGAAATCGCGTGATCATCTCCCATTGCCTGAGGTAGATACCTGTCTGTACCTGACATGGATTAACTCCACTGGTCACAGCTTTTCACTAGAATTCGGAGAATTCCCTCGCGAAGCTAATCACTAATGAGCACATGGTAATTAATGATATGGGGTTGTGGAAACTGTTAGGTTTTTGATTAAGATCATCTTTGCTCTAATTGTAAAATTGTATTTTGTTCATTTTTATTGTTCAATTGTTTTGTTTTAAACGTTTTATAAAGATCACTGCAAAGATATTTTTTCTTTTAAAAATAAAAAGACAATACTTGTGATGATACTCACTGCTGCAATAAAGTTTACAGTGAAAAGTAACGTATGACTTTTTGCAACGAACATGGTAAATAATTCTGAAAATAATAGTATGAAACAAATGTAATGATATGTTATATAAGTGATATATATATAATAATATTAGAATATAAACCACCTAATGAAATCACTTAATTACAATGTCAACTTTTAGTGTTTAACCTTCCAAATTTAACAAATAGAAAGGTAAGATGGATAGTGGCTAGCAGTGAAATACAGGACGCGCGTTTCGTCCAATTTGAGACTCGGCAGCTGGATGCACCTGCATCTCAGAGTTGATGTTCACTCTGGGATTTGAACGCAGTATCTTTCGCTTCAAACGCCATCGCGTTATTCACTCAGCTACTGAGTCCTGATCATATTTTACAGCTTGGTTGAATGAGGTTCCAAGGACATAAAATGATAATACAGAATATTTCCAAGAACTGTTCGTGTATATTATGTGATTTATGCGTTTATAGTTACTCGATTTAAATTTGGTACTACACTTCACAATCTAATATCTGTGTTCTGGTTATTTCGATCAGTGTGCTATGAAACTGAGTCTTACAGATTGCTGTTACACAACTTGATCGCTCCCGGATGTTATAGTATATGCTGGTCGAATTCAGTTTGTCTGTTTGCAATATGGCCGTTTTTATTGGTATCTTAACATCTCATAGTTTATATCTGAATCTTCAATATTTAGAAAAAATCCTCAGTGGACCATAATTGACTTGCTGTTCAATGACAGGCTAAACAAGCATCAAAACAGATATTAACTCGTGATTCATCAGTATATATATATATCCATTATTGATAGTTTTGTCACGAACAAAAATATATAAAAAACCGGTGATTCTCTACTTTTTTGTGAGACCAATTTATATCTAAGACTAGACAATTCTCATAGTTCAAATCATTAGTCAATCGAAGCTAGACCACCAGGGAAAAACCTGGAAGCACTGAACGATCGTTTCGTTCTATTGTGGGACTCCTCAGTAGTGCACATCCACTATTCCGCCTCGCGGCCGTCCAGTGCTTCCAAGTTTTCCATGGTGGTTTATCTTCAATTGACTCATGATTTCAACTATGTAAATACTGAAATTCTCACAAAACCCCTTCTGACTAGATCATTCATTATTATTGATTGGATATAACACAACAAGCTTAAATATCATTATTTTAAATACTATTACTACATTCATGATAATGTAACATGGATATCAGGTACGAACTTACCAAAAAAGAAAACAACGTTAATTTTCAAGAATTATCTTCTTTTAATAAGTCCTTAGTGTCAGTAACCAGTCTTCTATAATAAAATTATTATAATGTTAAAAAGCTTTTACTTTAACGTTTTGTATTTTACATACATACATGTACTTAACCTAGTTATATCTAATTTGAAATACCAAACAAACAATATGTGTAAATAAAAGGATTATATTACAAGACAACAGGATTATTGATCGCAAAGATGACGATATTAAACAAACAGTTAATCAAACACTATTAAATGAAAACAAATGTGAGGAGGTCGGACCATGAGATTTATTGATAAAACACAAAAACTATACTCTGATACTTTATTTGCAAAATGTTCATTAATTGTTTCAAGTTTTATTGTTCCTGAATTTTTACACCAATTGCTTTCTATTTCTGTTCTTTTCTTCTTGATCTTTTCAATCTTCTTCTGTTAGATATTCTATTCCTTACTCATGATATTATACTATTTATGTCGATAGAAGTAGCCCAAACCACATTGTTAGTTACACTTATTTTTGAGTAGTTAACTGTAAAAATGAATAAAATATGTTCTAGAAAATAAATCTAGATTATAAATAACAAGATGAAACCAGTTAAACTTCACTTTTTACTTGGTGGTTGATAGGTGGAGAAAACCACTCAGAAACCAGTTGTCATATTTGTTGAAAAAGATGTTTTATAGTATCAGAATATAACTGCTGAAATCAAGGTTATCTTACTACTTCGAACTACTCATCACAATGCAAACAAATGAATAAGAACTGTGTATTGTTTAGTGGCTAACTTGTAGACAAATTACTGAAGTACTTATGTGAAGTTCTAACCATAAAAGTGTTGCATTGGATATCTGCTTGACTCTGCTATTGACATCAAAGCCTCGAATATGTGAGCTATTTATACTAATAATGTGAAAGAACAAAAAAGATAAGTATGAAGCTTTAAATGGCTAAACCGAATCAAAATATATGAAGAAAGCTGTTCATTAGTATAAACATGTGTCCTTAAAACCATTAAGCTTGAGTTTCAACCACCAGTGTGTGTCTGCCCCCACTCCCAGAAAATAAAGTCAAATATTGACCACTATTGTGTACTCATCAGCAAATCACTTATCATGTGAACTTAAAGTGTATAGAAGTCCTGGTCTATCAGAAAACCTGACAGTTTTATCAATGATACTGATTGATGGCTGTGTTTTCTCACAAACTGATTAAAATTGTATCAATAGACTATTGGGTTTTAACTTAGTGGTCTTAAGCGAATATGTTGGACGTGGGGTTCAGAAATCATGTTCATACAGTGATGGGACTATGACTGTGCACTACTGTTTGGTTCCAAATAGAGTCAAACTCACAGTTATATCCTCTCTCATTGCCAATCGAGGTCATTTAGCTGATATCAGTCAATGATGACAGTCAGACAAGCAAATTTTCTGGCTAGTTTATAATCATTCTTTAACTCTAACAATTAGTTGTTCTTGAGACTAAGTTTAATCCCAATATTTAGTGTTACCAATCTAAGACGGCCAAGTTACTTAAGTTCAAAGTGCATAGCCGGTATATCTGTAGTGGCAAATAAATCTATAAAATAAGTAGTTCTGTAAGCCTTTAGTGTTGATCTGACTAGTTTTACTGGATACACGGTAGCAGAATTCACCCGGTCAATCATCCGCACCAGATCACAGTTGGGTACGCCATGAGACAGCTCGCAATAACTAGTTACCTTATATCATATACTTCTCGACAAATCAAATGTCTTTCAAATGTATCTTCGAACACTTTCATTTCTGACACCTGATTTGATTGACTAAGGGATCATTGATTCTAAAAGTAATAGGAAAACAAAGCTGTCAAGCACTGAATATCCATGATCTCTTTAAGTCTGCTACTCGCACGTTAGATGCTTACTTCCTAACAATTTCCTAGGCTCTACGAATACCTTTAGACTTGAACTCAAACAGCGAAAAAAAGTTGCGAATAAAAGCCTAACTTTAAAGTTCGTCTAAGTGCAGTATTTATGTTCATTAATAATTTTAAAAGTCTGGAAACTTCTGAAATCATTAGTAGCAAAGAGGTTGGTCATCAGATCAGTTTTCATAGAATCCCAGCAGTACCGATCTATGATTAATAAATAGTCCTTTTCTATTGTGCAGACATATTGAAAAAGAAGACAGCGAAGTAAAATCGAGTTGCATTCAAAACTGAAAAATAATAAGTAAACACTAACGGCCAAACGTAATGGTAAATAACTTTATGTTACGCTAAGTAGAGCGCAGGCACACGAAAAAATGTTAGATTAATGATTTTTGATTCAAATTAGCTGACATCAGAGAGGGAAGCAGAATAACTGAAAGAAAATGAAGATGTGTCTGGTGTTTGTATGAACTGATGATTCCTTTGTACTTGATGACTGCCTGATTCCTGATTCCAAATACAATACATTCGTCCATGCTCATCTAGTACTTCTTGATTAAATTGCGTTATTCCTGTAGTTCATAGTTTCGTACTATAATTCAAATACTCCTAATTATCACATTGGCGTCATAATGCAGCCTGTGATGGAAAATTTGGACATTCAATCAACTTCTACGCATCAATACGCGCAAACGGATGCTAGTAGACGGAAACACTAATTTATCTCTTTGCGTAACTTCTTTTTCTGGTTAGAGGTTATCTCCAGTCACAATGAGGCGCACAATAGACCCGATCTATCAACCATTACTCGATGAATACTCTGGGATATACCGATGGCAACCGAAACTGCCATGTGTAACCAGCTATGTTACATGCCACGTCACGGCTACAGGCCACCTGTATTCTCGAAAGCAAGCCGACTGGCTCCTGAAAAACTGAGCTTGGCCAAAAATGAATTCGACTACATGATAGAGTTAGGAATAATTCGACCGTCAAACAGCCTATGGCCCCTAAAAGGGGCAGCAACGATTGGCGTCCACCTGGTGACTATCGGCGTTTAAATGCTAAAACCATTCCCGATTGTTACCCATTGCCTTACATTCACGATTTGACAGCTACCTTGAAATGTACGACTACTTTTTCAAAAATCGACTTGGTTAAAGTTTATAACCAAATCCCTATGGATACTTAGGACATTCCAAAAGCCGCCATCACAACTCCCTTCGGACTTTACTAAGTTTCACGAATTCCTTTCAACCTAAGAAATGCTACCCGGACTTTCCAAAGGTTTGTGGAGATAGGACCATAAAACCTATTTTGTAAATAATTTTTCATAGTTTTCGCATGTATTTTCATATTCTGTACATTAAGCATTAAACAATTGTACTTGTTGTTTAAGTGTATTACTTTGAACGCTTGTAACTCGACTTCCTTCCGTTTTTGAGTACAACATATCGTGACACTGTTACTGCTTCTCAATAAATACACTCTAATTCACATCTGCATCGTTCTGCCATGTCTGCTAATATGTTGAATGAAATATTGATTGCATACCATCTACGTTTATAGACAACTGCGACATTCTTATTGAATTCTACGCTTGGTAAACCTACTGGATCTATATCGTCCATATTTGGGGTTACTAATTTTTTATAATTGTGGATTATTTGGACCAAACCCAGCCGAACACGCAATAGCCCGAAGACTTAAGTAACGTCCATTATTTTGTTATTTGTGTGTGTAATTAACTTATTAACTGTTAATTGTTACATAAACTATAGACATAATATTTTTGTTGCTAATTTTTGGTTATCATACATTTTGGTCCACCACAATTATTTGGTGAGCCCTAGTATTTTATTATCTCGCATTTATCCCATTGTTATATTGTTTATTCGCTCATTGTACGACACTTTTGCTCATTTTTAACCTAATGTACTCCCCACCTAAGCTTAGTGATTTGGATCCTGTTCCTGTAACTACTCTTAGTTCATCACCTAACCTTACTGACAGTGTATTTAGTGCAGTCAATGCTATTTCGGAATTTAAGCTTCCACCTTATGGAGTAAATAATCCTAGAATCTGGTTTGCTCAAATTGAAGCCTTATTTCAGTCCAAAGGCGTACGTTCCCAAGCATCTAAGTACGCTTATGTAGTTGGCTCACTCCCGATCGAAATTGCGGCCGAAGTAGGAGACCTTATCGACCAGGTTCCTGAAACCGAGCCATATGATAAATTAAAAGCGGCTTTAATTCAGCGAACAACAGTCTCAGATGAGACAAGATCACAACAACTTTTGAATGCATGTGATCTGGGAGACAAAAGACCTTCCCAACTACTCCGACACATGAAACAACTTGCCGGCCCTTATAAACTAGACGAAGCCCTCCTCAAACAAATGTGGTTCAACCGATTACCACGCAGTGTCAGACAAATTCTAAGTGCTTTGGGGAAGTCCCCCTCCCTCGATGATTTAGCTGAAATGGCACATAAAGTAACGGAAGTTTGCCATGATAACCATTATATAAATACAACGCAGCCGTATGGAGCAGCTGATGTCGGCTACTTAAACTCTATTCAACGACAATTATCTCAATTAACAAACCAGCTTGAGGCACTACAGACCACTGTAGCAACGGTGCAGGCCAGACAATTAAGACCCCCACGCAGACAGAGATCACGTTCTAGACCAAGATCTCGTTCACCTAAACGAACATCCGAAATTTGTTGGTATCATACTAAATTCGGCACAAAAGCACGGCGTTGTACACGCCCGTGTGCATTCCTCTCACCCACCACTGATAACCAGGGAAACGGTCCCGCCAGGCAGTAATGGCGGCGCCTGACTCTGGCCACAGCTCAAGCCGTCTATTTCATGTCAGGGATAGTATTTCGGGCTCAGATTTTCTAATCGATACTGGAGCCGAAATAAGCACACTCCCAATTCATCTTTCCCGACGACGGCACTCTCAACACGCTAAATTATCATTAGTGGCAGCAAACAATTCTATTATTAAAACGTATGGCGAGCAATCACTCATCTTAGACATCGGTCTCCGTAGAAAACTCCACGCACCATGTTCAACATACTATAACCACCACTGGTCCACCTATCTGCGCCAAGGCGAGAAGACTACCACCCAATAAGTTGCAGTCCGCCAAAAGAGAATTTGAACATATGATGCAACTAGGG